GATGGTGTAATTCAATCATATGTAAATATTTTCAGAGTGAATAAATAAATAAATAAATATCAAACAAAAAAATTCAAAATGTAAGTGGTAGGGTATGTTTTTACATTTTTGGATTTTACAGACGACTTTAGGTATATCTGATATCTACGTTGATTTTGTTTACTTTTTTCGTAGCAGTTTTTGAACCAAATTTGCTCAATTACTCAAATGAACTTACATTTATTACAGACGCGAATTGATTGCGCGGAGCAAATCCAAACCTAAAAACCAGAAAAAAATTAACCAAACAAAAAAATCGCGTATACCATGCGCGCTACCATTCATTTTACACGAAAAAGTACAGGTGAGAATGCAAGCAGTATTCTATAAAGTTGACCATCACACAAACGAACCCACTAATTAGCTAACACCGGGGAAAAAACGAAAATTACAATACGGTTCCTTCTGTTGAAGACAATGCCAAGCAGATCCTTAATCTAAAAAAATCTGCGATGAAGATGAAGAAATGTGCAAGAGGCCGGTGGCGAATCATCACCAGATATTTAAATATCTATAAATAACTAGAATTCTAGTATGAAATGCCGCTAAACAATTGTAACTATTTAGTCTTACCTTAAATAGTTTTGTTGTTGCAACTACTGTGTAATGATATAGGGGAAAACTTTTTTTCTTTGCTAATTATTTGCCAGAAAAGTCGTCGGTCAATTTTAAGGTGCTGTGTCCATTTCTGGTAGGTACGTCTTGAAGTTGATTCTTCAACTCTTGCAGGAATCGCGTTTTTAATATCTACTTTTCGCTTTAGTCTGAGCCGTCCACGATCGATAAATTCACCACAAAGGAAATTTCCGCTATCTAAACCTTGCTAATCCAGTAGCTGGGTAATGATTGTATATAAAGTTCCATATTTTTTATTTTTAACATAGGAAATGTTTATGTTTTTTGTAATGGGTAAAACGTTACGAGTTTCGTTCAATCGCAAAAGACAACTGTGTCACCTCATATATAACGATTGTACAGTACTAGGCCGTGGTCGGTTATCATTACACCAAAAATAATCGCGTACAAAAATCTGCAGAACAAGCTTGCTAAAAATCATTATGAAACATAGATCTATAATGGTCTTTTTATTATACCTGAACTACAATCTCCGTTTTAAACACTCAAATGAGTGCGAAAAAGGGCCTTTAAAACACACGTGCTTTAACGTTGCTAAGTAACGATACTTCAAGTATGACTTTTAAAACTGTCATCTGGATGAAATAAAAAAATCCTCTTAGGTCGCTTTCTGTAAATGCAGAACATTTCTTTGGCTTTTGTACCTATCCTTTGGTTGAAGCTTTCACAAACGCGCGTAATTTAGGGTATGCTTCCAAATCTGTTCCACTTTTTAATCGCAGCATTGCTTTAAAGTTTTGAATGAATGCACCAAAATATAGAAGATTTAAATACCTTTGACATTTCCTTCATATATGCCAGCATTATGGATGCATTTAAGACTGATTCGTAAGTAACTTCCTATTCATCCATGGAAACAACTTTTCATATTCTTTATAATAGGCTTTACTGGAGTGGATTTTACACCTACCAACGTTTGTTTAGATTTTACAACAATCGATTTAATGGACGGTGTATTATCTTTTTCAACGGAAATCGTTTAATTCACATTGACGATGATTTTTTAAGCAAACGTCAAGTTACATTTCCATGGCAATCGTGAAATTACGAACACCCAGCCCACTTAATTAGACATGTATTCGAGTATAACGTCAATATGATTTCATTGATTTCCTATTTTTAAATTATATGCAGGTATAATAAAAAATACTATAAGATACACGTGTATAATTGTCTTTAAAGCACTTGCAACGTTAAAGGCACTCCGCTTTGCGTCGTGCCTTTAAACTCGTTGCGCGTGCTTTAAAGACTTGATTATACACTTGTATCTTAATATACTATTTTTATCTGTATTTAGGGTAATTTTCCACGCTATTATCTTTGTTTTTTTAATGTATGTCTTTGGCAAGGAAACATGCGGGTTTGGGACGGCGGTCAGGATACTGTCGAGACAGTACGTACTCAATAGTGCCCAATTGTTTTATTAAGCTAATTTAAAATTCTCTCACATCTGCTTTGATAGTACCTAGGTACTAATTACAAGCATGTTATGACGCTTATTATACAAAAAATTAACGTTTGCCACACGAGCGAGCTTGCCAGCGAGTGGAGCAAAGCAAGTGATCCGAGTAAATAAAAGTTATTTCCAAAGTCTCCGATGGTTGCATGCACAATGCACGTCATGTGTTTTGTGGTTGCATGAATTGCGAATCTGTGAATTTTTTTTATCCAATTACTACCACATTTTTTTGAATTCATAAAAAGTATTTACACGCATACAAACCCGTGATAAACAAACTATGCGTGTATGTGCATAAATTAAATTCCTACAATTAACATGGTTTTTCCAACATTTTATAAAACAGGTTTTCCGCGCTTTATTAAACCATTGAATTTAACGTTCGAAAGTAATGGCACGGTTAGGCAACCCAAATAACTCGTACAGTTCTTAGCGCATGTGGTCCACTTATACCTGTTGATTACCAATTCTTACAGAAACCAAGTATATAACCAAAGAGTTACTCTTTGCAAAGAGTGTAGTATGATCTTTGCTCTTTGATATAACGTATACTCTTTGCAGAAACCGAAATCTATTACAATGCAAGGTGCAACGACGATCTGAGTCTACTACTTACTGTAGCTTTGAATATTATATTCAAAGACTATTATAGGGAAAGTAATGGACATAGATTTTTGAAGCCATTTTTTGCCCACTTAATTTCAATCACAAATTTAGTTTAGTTTGTTACTCAAACATTGGTCGATGGGGGAAGTGGCTTCTTTTCCTACTAAGTAGGTATGTATATATACGTCTTTCGCTATAAAAACCGGTGCACGTCATTGATTTATGAATCAATTTCAGACAAGTTTTCTATAGATATTGTAGCCTCAAAGTTTATAGGAAAATATTGTTTAAATCGCAGAAGTGCATTCAGACTGCAACTTCCAAGCAGTGGCGGACTGACAAATTGAACTGGCCCGGGCAACCGAACAGCACCAGCCACATAACGGAGGGTTGGTTATACCCGAAATTGTTCTCCAAAGTAACCCCCTAAAATAGCATTTTAAAGCATTTGCACTTATTCCAAAATCGATTAAAAGTGCAGTTTTTTTGGGGGGACATCCGACACCGTACCACCGCTGACCGCACTGGCGCCGGCCCAAAGTACAGCGGCCCACCGGGCACTTGCCCGGTTGCCCACCGGCCCAGTCCGCCACTACTTCCAAGGGCATTTGATGATTTTATCTTCTGACACATCAGAGACTTGAAAGCTGATTCAACTTTTTTAATCAATATCGAACGATCTGATTGTAGTAGTTTTTTGTATCTATTCAATGATCTAACTATCACCATTACCATCAATTATTTTTGACTAAACCTATAGAACGCGTCTTTGGCTTTCTCAGTACGTATTTCAGTTTGTTTTTTTAATATCCCTTCCATCACCATGGTGGAAAAACGTTAATTGTGTGTTAAGCGCACCAATATCTTGGTATTTATTTATGTTGATTGCCTCTGGTATAGAGAATCGATATTTCCTTGACATTTAGTTTGAGTTTCTTCCACCAAGATATTATTTCGGTCTCTAAATGGTCGGCAGAGTGGGCGCTGCGGGCGGCGGGAGTAGCTAGCAGAATGCTCGAGACTGAGTTAAGAAATTTCTCATCTCCGCGCCTCGAACACCCAACCTCCGACTACATAATCAAAGATAATATGTAACCCAATTACGCTCTACCACTCAGCTACACAGTCGGTTGGGAAATACAATAAAAGCTTGATATCTGTCACAGCGGAAGTTCGTTCTGGGCATATGATCTTTTTCCTTCGTTAGATCGTTTCCACTATACCAATGGGGTTGAGCGCCACTCAATTTCTATCTTAACTCTTCCCGTATGAAATCGAGAAGATATGAGGGTAGTAATCGCAGTGGAACTCAATTTAGGTACCCACAGCAATACTGGTTTATTCTCAAATATCAAATCAAAGTCTCCAAAATTGAATCACAGTAGGTACCTAATTACACAAAAGATCCTCATATACGAATTTCCTCAATATAAAATATCTTCACTACGCGACCTCACTTTACTATCAAAGGGGATGTGCGAGAATTTTAGATTGGCATTAACAAACCAATTGAGCCTTATTAGGTAAGTACCGTATCGACAGTATCCGCGGCTTTTCGTTCACCTACGGATCACGATCGAGTACGGTGCAATCGGTACTTGAGCAACACCGTTGTTTTTTCTGCGTGAACGAAACTGGTAACTTTATACCCATATACGAAACCAAACCATAAACATTTCCCATGTTAAAAGTGGAACCGAACCCGGAACCGAAAATGAAATATCAGGTGGAAAAGCATATGGGTAAAATGTAAAGAATGTGACGGATGATTTAATTAGACCTCTTGAGTCTTGAGCGCCTTTTCCCGTGGAAAAAACAGAGGTTTATAGTAAATAAGGTGAACAAAAAACAATTGTAATATTTAAACTCAAAATAATGCAGGGTCCGTCCGGGTAGTGTCACCGTGTGTGATACATGATCTTGCCGCTTATAAGGTATGCTGTGTACACAAGAGCCTTCAAAGAATATGATTCAATTACATCTAATAAATTTCCTACGCAACAACATTGCTTTATAATAAATATTCTAAAGTTCATTGTTAATACCTTATTACCTTTATAAGTGACGAGATAGGATTTGAATATTTTTTGCATGTTAGTGCGGTACGTTATGGCTGATTCACCTGTTTCTTCAGCACCCTATACAAACAAAGGTACATTTTGTGGCGACATCTATTGGTTCATGTTTCCAGAGCACAGGTTTCTGTAACGTACAGCGCACTGCGCAATGAAAGTTGCAAATGATTTTGCACTATGCTAACATTCAACTATGCCCTTGGTTTTAAGTGTGGTTCAACTTCATTGTCGTCTATTCAATGATAAAAAAAATTTGGTCAGCTGATGAAGAAAGTGCGTTTAAAATTGGTGAAAATGAGATGACTGCTTGTAAAGGTGGTTTCTAATGATAGCCAATGTTTACGTACACCTGTATACCTAAGTATGCCTTGATAGACAAACGAAAGTGAAAATTTCAAGTGTTTATTTGTATCAGCTGTAAAAATGTCAAACAGTCATCACAAAAGCTATGGACAAGGAAATGTCGCAAATTTTAAGCTGAATAGTACGTCGTTAGACTTAATTTAGATTTTAGCAACAAAGGTCTTGGAATCACTCAAGTAAATCCAACTTTTTGCAGTAATGTCAGGGGGTCATTAACTTGATTTCTTTGTTTACTTGTAGGTGTAGTCTAAATACATCATTAACACTCCTTATCTAATACTTTGATAGTTAGTTCTTAAGTAAATAGGTGGTTGGTTCTATTAAGTGTCGAATTTTTTATTCAGATTCATATTTATTGATTGATTTTAACAGGCTAAAAGTAAACACTGATAATGTTATCTAAGCTTAAGTTTATACATGGCCATGCTGTATTGTGATGTTTCATTTTTACAGACACAAAAACGAGCACTTTCCACTTGTGAAGTGCTGACCAGCACCTGCCTTAAGATGTTGTATGTATTTAATGTCGACACAGGAACCATGATCACTTTCGATATGAGCTTTGCTGTAGAAAGGTGCGTGTGTTTATGTAACCTACAATTTGGTGTAATTGTCTTTGTTTCAGTGTAAGCTATCTTCAAACGCAAATAGAAAAAATCTGCAAAATAGCCGTGGATAACCAAGTCTTATTAGTTAGCGGTGGCGAATCTTTAGACAGAAATGCTCGTGTCTGCTCGTACTCGGCGGGAACGGATACTAATCCGATCTACCTTTTCAGCAGAACTGATATCGAGTCCAAAATTCCACCAACTCCTAGTGTCGAAATTGGATCCAACATCGGTTAGTTTAATTCGCAGTATGCTTGACCTTTCATTGAATAATTTCAGATTTTACCGCAAAAGTTAAGGAATCGCACGATATGCCTGCCACTTATCATACGGTCTGCCAAAGAACACAGTTAGCGCAACAGTTTCACGAGTCGGCCAAAGAAGAGTTGAAGATTTGCCAAAATTTGGTACACGAACAGCATCTGCAACAGCAAGGGTGGGCTGCGGTTATCGCAAATCTAGAAGACAATATTTTATCATTTACTAAACGGTCCGAAATATTTCAGAAGGGTTTTGAAGATTATATGAACGAACGTGAGACATTTCTTAAATTTTTACAGCAGTAAGTATTTATAGTCGCTTTTTGTGTTATTTTACAAGGTAAGTATTGGGATATCAATATATTTGTAATTTACAAATCCACCATTGTTGCACAAGAGTACATTTGATTTGCACAAATGTTGCTTAGATTGCATAAGTAGTTGTAACATTTTTTGATTTAAGATAATAGACAATGGCAAGGTTTGTAACAATGTTAATTCCCTGCACTTGCCTCATTTATGGTGATATTTCAGGCTGATCAAGCAGATTGGAAATGGCAAAAGTTGCGTAAATTAACAAACAATACAGTGCCACCATGCTCAGAAAAGCCCCGGAAAATATGCGAACTAATTTTGAAATAATTCAAGCTGGCCAATAGAAAGTCAGCAAAACGACGCGATACATTCCGCACCATAATTATTAATTATTCCGTTTTGACAGTTGACGCTTCACGTTATTTTAGTTTACACTTTTCCTGTTGTATTTGCTTTATTTTACGTTTTCCGTCTCCAGTTTTATACAAACTCGTCTCTTTCAAGACGCATATAGCTTGGATCTACAATCTGATAGGGTATGTAATTCCCTTAAAGTGTTTTTAAATTTTGCATCAGAATGTACGGTCTAAATTTCTAGCGCCCTCGGACACGCCCTGTCAGGGACTTTCTGAGCGTGGTGCCACTGTACTAAATTGTATATTTCAATGAGCTTTTGATTAACATATAAAAATCCTGCATGTTGATTAGTTGGCTGTAGGGTACCAAATCAATTTTTTTTTGTAATTAATTCAATGGTCTATTTGTTTGGTATTCTGGTTTCTTACAAAACTGTCTTACAAAAACCACTAAATATTTGCACTTCATTATCATGTTTTTGGAAATAGATTCCTGGTGTAAAAATGTCTACTACCAAATTTAAAATATATAGTGTAAGAAATGGTCCAATTGATTCCGAGAGGTGACCGAAACCGTAATCAAAACTAATATTGCTCACAATTGTACCCAAAATTATACCCAAAACACAATATGGTAGGACCAGCTCTCATTTTTCACAATTCCATTACATACATTTGGGTTATCTTAAGAGATAAGGTGTCGGTTAAATTAGAGCAAGGTGCTAAATTTAAACGAAAATCATATTTTGGGCTAATGTTTTAGTTTTTTGAATTAGGTAAGTAATTGAAAAAATTAAATTAAAAATTTTTTTTGTGCAAATAAAAAAGATACCAAAAAAAAAGAGAAAGCACATATTCCAAAATCTAATAAAAGATACCATACTCGTTTACTGTTGCTTAGAAAGAAAAGGCAAATTGTAGGATTTTTGGGATGTAGTGAAATAAAACATTTTAGACCCTCACTATGTTTGGGACAAACGCTGTGTACTATTATGAAACTATACCAAAGCAAGCATTTTTTTCTAATTAAACAAAAGGTACAAAGCGCATTGTTTGAGAGGTGCACAAGTCTTAAAGTTTCAACATTTGTGTTTCATTTGTAATTTTTTTCTGAAATTTGAATGCAAGAAATTCAAAAAAGTTTTCACACTGTAAGATTCTTAACTGGGTTACAAAAAAGGCCAAAATTTGATAAAACTTGGTGGGTACCCTTTTTATTTTCAAAAATTATTTAAAAATATTTCATCATATGCTCGTTTTCCAAATAAATGGCCGTGTATGTGTAAATAGTTACGTAGACCAAAATAGGTTTTTTTTAGGATATCGCATCACTAGCTGTTCACTAAATATTAGAGAGAAGTATTTTTCTTGTCGATTCTGCGCCTCTAATTACAAGTATATACAGTGATTGTTTCGTTATTATACCAGGCATTGCGTTTGAATGTCATTTCTTTATTTGTGTGGTCAAGGATGTCCAGATACCAAACTTGGTCGAGATGGAGATCAGAAAATTGTTTGTACCTCCAGTAGGCGTAGTTTTTGCAAAATCAGAAAGAGCATAACGCAAAAACCTAAAATTCTTCTTTGATGTTAGTGGTTGCTGAGAAAAAATCCCAAATTTTGGGAGTTTTGGGACTATTGTAGTCCATTCAATTTGTTCAATTGTTCTATCATTCAATTTTTTTTTTATATACAGTGTACTTAGTTGGCAACATATTCAAAACGTTTTTATTATTTATCTTACTGTAATTATGAAAAGTTGTTTGGAATGATAAACTATAATATGCAATTACATCCTTCTAATTTTTTTTACAAGTAACTACTTACAGTTCAATTTGCATTGATATTGAAAATCAGTTCTGCGCATGGGCGCAAATCCACTCACTTTTATGGTATGTATCTCGATGCGCTTGCGCATAAATGGAAACTTATTCGACATTCGATTTTCGCGACCACTTTTGACAAGACAAGTACTATATATGCTCTAATATGCTTGACAATCAAATGTTCATAATTTCACATGGTATTCTTAAAGAATGAAGAACTTGCCCGTCAACTTACATTAATCATGTTTGTGATGGTTCATAATTTATTTAGCAAGAATGTTTCTTTTAGAATGGAATGCCTTTTTTTTCAGATATTAATTCTAGACATTTTCTTTCATTTGACATGGGATTGTCTCATACCTATAATTGATAGTTTTCATGTTATTTACATTTCTCTTGGCAAAGTATTTTTTAATACAAATCATGCTTGCCATGGATATTTCAATGAATAATATCTACCAAACCAAGCTTATGGAGGGTTTATATAATTATTGTCATTAGTTCACAATCATTAGTTAGATTAAGAAATAGTCAATAGAAACGAAGGTATTGTAGCGAATATTCCAGAAATCCTGATAGACATAGAGGTGCCATGAAAGATTAATCATCGGCGTTAAAGAACAAAGGCGGATATGACGCAATCTTTCCGGGAAATGTGAAGTGTTTTGCTCTACAACTTTCGAGAAGACTCGTCGCTACTCGGGAATCAGGTTCATTCTTGATAGCCCTGTGCAAAAACGCGTCAATCGCGACAATCTAACATCATGTTCCATCTAGCCCCCGACCTAGCCCTGTGTTAGGTTTGGGTGTCTTGAGTTATAAAGTTGTTTACAGTTGCAACTGTAAGTGGAAGAGCTGGCTCTGGACCATAAAATGCCTGTTTTGAGGCCAGATGGGCTAACCTATTGGCTTTTTCATTGCTTTCTATTCCAGCATGCCCTTTGACCTACGCGAGCTCAAGGGTGTTAGTGCTTGCCACTTGCTCTAGTGCATAGTTACATTCGGAAACCAATCTAGAGGCAATTATACAGGGACCAAGTGCCTGCAAGGCAGCCCTGATGTCACTGGAGGTTCTTATAGTTTTGTTCTTTATGTTATGTTAAGGGCGAGTGGGGGGGGGGGGGGAACTAGTTTTATCCTTCATGGTACTCTAATGAAAGGTCTCAACGAAAGGAATTCATTTCTACCAACCATAGCCCTCCTCCTCAACCTCTTATCGTGATCGGGTATATTCCTTCATACCTCAACAACGGATTGTCAGAAGAGGGTACTCACAAAGGGCGATTGAGACGTCTGCAAGATATATATTCATTGGTGATGTTAAAACAAAAGCTATTTCGGTTAAAAAAGATGCGCTTTATCTGCACAAGAGATGTGCACAATTTATATACTTGTTTCATTATGCTTTAATACATACTCTATGCTGACATGTACATACGTTCATTCATTAGAGAGCACATTTTAAAAACTTTCCAACGATATAAGATTCGAAATTTTGGTAGAAGGGGCGCCGGTAGTTGGCGGTCACAATGTACTTAAATGTTGAATGTATCTAATTATTAGGCAATAGACCCATTAAAACTCTTTAAATTAAAACATTGTCACTGCAATAAAAATGAACTAGATTAAGATTTTGTATTTTTTTTCTAGTTTTCACGAAGATTTGAACATCTTGGCCAAAATACCCATGTTACCTGTATTATTATTAGGCGAAAACCAGTACGCATGCAAAGACTCTCACATGAGCTCTACGGCGTCAGAGGTAAATCGAACGTGTGCGAATTTGTTAGATTGGATCTCATCAACAGATAGTAAAAGTACAACTGATCAGTTATTCGAACACTGTTCGAGAGTTCTAGAACAGGTAAGATGGTAAATGTTAAATTTAATAATCTAAGGGTCATCTTTCAGTATGATACAAAAATTTTTAATTCGTTACATGCTGTACTAAAGAATATATTTTTCGAAGCTAATCAGGATGAAATGAAAGATATTAAGGGTTTGAGTGATCGGCTCTGTGGTTTAGAACAGCTAATGTTCGAAGCTAAACGATATGTTAAAGAGCAAGGTGATTTAGCACAATCTTTTATTCAGGTGCGATGCCCTGTTGGCATAGCAGTACGTTAAATTGTTAATTGTAGAATCAAAATAGGGCGAGCAATTTGGGAGATACATCAATTTTACCGGATTTGTGCGCGTCACACAGAAAACAACTAGTGGTTATGCTTACAAATCACCAACATCTATCGGATATCCGTCGTCGTTGTATAAAGGCAAAGTCGGAGTTGGGCACAACCTTACATCATCGTCTCAAATGGGTTATGTATATGGAAAATTTAATGGTCAAAGTGGATCAGCAGATGATCGTGTACCACGAGAGTCTTAGACGGATGCGGACACATTTAGAAATTCTTCAACAAATTCATTTGGCACCAGCAACCTATTTATCTGCCGTTGCAGAGGTTGTGCGTAGGAGAGCGTTTTCTCAAGCCTTTTTGTCGGTATGTATCCCCATTATTTCCTGCTGCGCTGACTTTTACTATCGCAATTTTTAGTGGGGATCCGAACTCGCTTGTTACCTATTAACAATACATAACGACGAGTTAACACGAAGAAAGGAATTCCAGTCTTCATTTGAGAATCATTTTTTAAGTTCACTTTTTCCGGGCATGGAAGATTTACCTCCGTCTTTTGCAGTTGAAGCTCCATCAATTTTTGATTCTAATTTACCGCTGTTAAGTATTGAAGATCTTGAACAGTTAAAGCAAGATTTGCCAGAGCTCGCCGAGAATGTTGTGATTCCTGACATAGCAGCTATAAACAATCTATTTTTAGTGAAGTCTATCGTAAAATCTGATCTAGATAAAATGGATACACGGGGAGTGGACGAAAAAATTGTTCAGGTTGTGAATGAAGTAGGACTTGGTTGTAATTTAGATCAGACTTTACTCAAACCAGCTGAAAGTGAACCATTAATGATGCACGGTATTCCCTACCTGAGAGATCTTGATAGGTAAGTGAAGCAGTGCCAAATGGTGAAGTAACACTGCACCTTTTTTCTCTATCAATCAAGTTAATAAAATTAGGAAGTTAGTCAACGATAATGTGAATGTTAATAGAATACTAATTTTCCCAATTTGTAAAAATGTGATGTAATTAAAAAATTGTTAAGATTTTTCTTACAATTTGTTTGTAGGGGATGCGAATCGGAAACGGATACCGAAGAGTTTGAGAAAGTGGGACAAAGTCCGTTAGATTTACACTTTGAAAAAGAAATTCCATCACCTCGTCCTCGAACTCAAGACGCTTCGACATTTATGGAGGTTGGTGATAGAAATGCTTTACCACCCAGAAAACCACCCCGTACGTTTCAAAAATCCCAAATTCCCATCCCAAACAATGACTCTAATACTAACACCAATACTACCCTTCAATCCCAAAGAACATTAAGTTGCAGCGGAAGTCAAAGTTGCACCGAAAGTTTCACAAACGTAAAAAACCCTTCGCTCGAGTCAATTGACGAACTTTCGAGTATTAAAAATTTTAATTCTAATACGGAGAGTTGTTTCAATTCACATCATCAACAAATGCAAAGTTACGCTTCGGCGCAATTTTCGCGCTCTAAATCGCTTTCGCCGCATACTCCTCAAAGTCCGAAGGATATACAGTGCGAACAGTTTTCCCCGAGCTCTCCGACCCAAGGCCACCAACCTAATGAATTTCTCACTGACGAATTTTATATTGATGAAAGCTTGCCGTCCAGTTTGAGTATTGAAACGGGACAAAGCCAAGGAGAGTTTGTACGGCAACTCGATACTGCTAATAATGTAGTGGCATTATTACAGGTACTTGACACTATTGCATTTATCCCCGTATACACTTTTGTAAAAATTGTTTGTAGTTATTAATTTGCAGTTGTATTTTTAGTTCTTTTGCCTAAAGATTTGACTTTTTAAGGTTGGTGTCAAGTTGTTGTAGATGCATTACAAATGCATGACATCATTATGTGCACATCAAAGTAGAATCATTATAGGTCCTTTAGAAAGTCCTTAATAGTCAATATCTGATTTCTTCCATATAATGCTGTGTAAGGCAAGGTTAACATTTGTACAATTAAATGCAATTTACAAAACAGAAAAAAAAGTCAATAGTGAATGAGTTAACTTTAAATCATTGAAGCATTTCAGTTGTGTATTAGACCTATTAGACCCATGAATTAGATATTTAATGTAAAATATCTGTGAGTTGTACCAGGTGATCAAAAATGTCTGAGGACAGTTTGAATTTTCCGCAAAACTAAACATTTATAATGTTGATCAAATGATGTATCAAATGTCATTTATGTAAAAGCAGTGGTAGATCAATTTAATATAATATATACTAAACAATAATCACAATTAATAAATTAAAGAAAACCAATTTATCAAGCATAGTGTCACTGTTCGGTTCATGATTTCAAATATTCATTCTAACTTTGCCCGGGGGTTAATTTGAATCTCTTCTCATAAATGATCATAGAAACGGTTTTGCAGATAACAAATATTATAGTTGTAATGAACCAAGGTCACATCCTGGTCACAGCACCAAAATTCTGTAATAACTCAAGTCCAGTTGAGAAACGACTGCGTAACTCAAAACCACAAATTAAAACTAATTGAAACCTATGGCACATGATCGTCAACTAACAAACCTGTCTACTGAAAGGTCCTACGTTGTTGAAACGTGTTGCTTGAGGATGTGCGTGTGTCACTCTAAGGATTGACCAAAATAAATTAAAAAAATTAAAATTAAAAACGTTAATGATAACAAAAACAATCAAAACCAAATTCAAATCAGGGTTGCCCTCTTAATCACACGAGAATAGCTCTAGGGACTTCATTGATTACGAGCAAGAGGTGTTGAAAACTTACTTGCGTACTTTGCATTTTATAATTTCTTATTACCCGTACGACAACATATTTAAAATATCGTGACACCATCTTTCACAAACATGAAATTATTTACCAAGATATATCGGAGACCAGCATTCACACCAAGGGCTGAGTGTACGAAGAATATGGGTAGAGCTCAAGCGCCTGCCATTTTGGGCAGGACATAACCTGTTTCATTATAATAATACAGGGCTATATTTGCATATTTGCAGTAGGGTTTCGAGACTCATCACATAACAGTTTTCATATAACATAAAAATTCAAATATTCAGGAGTCATGAAAAACTATCACATTTGGCATTTATGCAAAATAAGATAACGGCAAAATACCATTGTAAACAAATTCAGCCCATTACCCATTACGCCCCCACCTCGCCCCCACATAACACAAACAAAACCCCGACCCATCGTAAAATCTGATCAAATCATAAAAATCTTGAAATCACCATCCTGCGAATTGTTAAGATATACTGTTCCAATTACGTACACGAAACCTACACAATACTATAAATTGAAAAAACGCCCTGTATATCAATCTTAAATGAAAGCCATCCACATTTATGGGAAAATTCTACTTTAATTACCTACATATCAAAAACTAAATTCGATTAACACCTTGTACTAATCTCCAACCTTCCCCTAAAACACATAGTAAGTCTAACCATGACGTCAAAACAGGATAAAAATTAATTGTGCTCAAGGAATTAAGTCGCAATTGAATTCCTATAAATGTAACTGAAGCGACCTTCTCAATTGAGAAATCTACTTATAAATAATATACAGGGTGCCCATTGTGTATGGAATATAGTATGTCTTGGTAAATGTCGACTGTATACAAAATTTGTTTATATAAAAGTTGTTTAACATTTGTTTCCCATAATAAGGAATCAGTCCATTGTTTTTATTTCATAAAACAAATGAACAGTAAAAAACAATTGAATTTTTTTAAATAGCAAGGCATACTTTCATTAGGCTCATTTGATAGAGACTTTCTTTCTCTTTTCAATGACAACACGTTAGCACCCGTGTAGCACAAATTAATTTTGGTTTCTGGCTTTTTGTGATAGGTGCCTGCCTTGTAGTTAATGGTGAACATTTTGAACATACTGCTAATTTTGTTTTGTCTTCAAGGTTTAATAAGAAATGAACACGTTTATTTGTTTTATTTTGATGTAGGATATCTGGATTAATGTTATTGATCTAATTTAATAAATTTTTTTGAAAAATTTTTTTAATGTCTATCTTCGAAAAGAGAAAAAAAATCTATCAAATGAGCCTAATGGAAAGGCAGCATTTAAAAAAATTCTATTGTTTTTCGTTTCTTTTGTTTTCTGAAATAAAAACAACTGAAAGCTGCCTTATTATGGGAAATAAAATGTTAAACAACTTTATAGAAAAATTTTAAATACATTCGATATTTACCTAAATATACACTATATTCCATACATAATGGGCACCCTGTATATAAATAATAAAGAAGCAAAGCTACTTACCCCTAAATATTACCATTAACTCAACTTATTTTTTATGAACCTTGCGTTATAAGGTCTTGCAAATTCACTTTTTTCAATATCTTTTATGGTAAAGGAATTATGATCTGATTATACCTTGTATAAGTATGAACAAGGATTACTTATAGCGTTTTCGATTGGCAAAACTCGTACTGCACGAGTGTTGCACGAGAAACTGAAGAAATACATGTGAAAATTGCTCTCAATGGAACATAAATATTCGTAAATATTTGTTGTCATTTGTCCATAACCTCATTTTAGATTTAGGTAATCGACAAATCTCTATTTTAAAAAATGACAAACGATTTCAGTATTATTTATGATAAACGATGAGGAATATAAATTTGAAATTCCTGTAAAGGGCCAATTTTTGGCGTTCAGTTTAATGAGTAAGTGCAACTTTTTGTAAAATAGAAGTTATGGCTAGTTCATCATCTTCGCTATCGCTAGATGACGACAAAAAACTCTCCCAACGCAAGAAACAAATTCAAATTGTCGCACGTTTGTTTTGAAAATTTGTTAACTAGCAGCTCCACGAGCTCACGGACCTCGTGCGTCGAAATTTGCACCGAGTGCGTAATTGTTGCATCACATTTGCTAATGGAACACAGAAAATTGCCCTAAAATTACCAATAGAACGTAAAAATTGCACTTGTGCAGCACGAGTTTTGCCAATCGAAAACGTTATTAAATAAAAATAAAAATGCGATTGAAATTCATCGCGAGTTGTGTAGTGTTTTTGGTGAAGACGTCATATCAAGGCAAATGGTTTCTCATTTTATTAATCGATCGCCCCCTCAACATCTAAGAAGACACCCAGTGCAATTCCCTTGTGACTGAGTGATTGCACACAGTTCTATAAAGAGCCAGTTCATAAGATTTTCTCGCTAGGTAGGCATATCGGTTCATACTTAAAGGACCAACACATTCTCCCTAATATGTCTTTCAATTATGTTTTCCTAATTTGCCTAAACAATTTTGATTGGTTTTACACGCGTTCAGCCATTAGTAGAAATACCACTTTTACCTACTTCTTTTTGTACTAGAGGTGCATACTCTAACTAAAGTAACAGTGGTTAATGTGCATAATATAGAGGATTACAACAGAACTGGTAAAATTCTATCTGGTCCCATAGATTTCAATTTTTGGAATTTTTGAATCGCCCATTTATGTCTTGCCTGATCTATGATCCTATTGCTAATTTCCAATTTTCCCTGTATGGTTTCCAATCTGGAATAGGCAGGTTTGAATTGCCCTTATTCTCTGTAGGTCCCCGTAATTATCGACCTCGGAAAGTGTGTTTGAAGCAATAGCTCCAGTGTATCTTTCCCAGTTTTCATCTATACTGCATTCATTATAAAAACGTAGTAGATGGCGCTGCATTTGAAGATAAGCACACACAGGAAAAATATAGAACGGTCCCAATTTGTTTTAAAGTAGAAATATCCAGCACTGTGAACAGAAATAAATCAAACGATTTTGCACTTTGATCTGATTAACAGCTAATGACAGTTCAACAGTTTAGTTGGCAGCAGAAACTACCAGCTTACAAAATTCAGCACTCGTTTTATTTTTCAGCATAATACTGATTCGTATTTTAACTAATCACAGTGAAGGTCAAAGCTTCCCTATGCTTTCTACCGCTACCATCTTAAAATGAATAGAGTATAGGTCCCACTACCCTTTTTAAGGTTACCTATTTTCGCTTGCTGTTTCAGCGGGCAATTGGCTTTGAACGCATCTATTATGGCTCTTCGGAGATTATTCTCCAAACGATCTCTACAGAACTGGCGAAAACGAAAATTATTTTTATGAAATCATACAAAACCAAAATGCACTTTTCCCATTTTGATGAAAAAAGTAAAGAAATATTTGTATATTTGCAAATTTACTTATATTTTACTCAAAAATGGTACTTTTTTGCTTATGATTCACGACCCCATCTTAAAGAGAAATACAAAAAGAAATCAATTTACCCATTGTTTTTTGTGATAATGCACATAATAGGTCATTTCCGATTTTGTTTTGTTAGTTGGTGGCCTTGTACTCTTAATTTTATTCTGCTTGCTTTATGTATTATTTGTAATAGTTTACAGTACTTTTCTGTTACACTTTCTTCATTTGACTTTTACGTACAACTACAATAGCTTGCTTTTACAGGATAATCTTCAAACTTCACAAACCGAACGTGATCGATTAAAAGCTCTAATGATGAAAATGTCCACTCTGTCATGCGATGCTTTAAAATCACTGCGAACCGAATTAAGAGAACTTAAATCATCTGTGATGTCAATAAAAAGTGATATTAGGTTTGACTGTGAAGGCTTAACGAGTTCGTGGGAAAATTTGACTGCGGAAATGGAAATTAAAGAAAAAGAAATGGTGGAGAAAATTACATTGACTCACGAGTTGGAAATAAATGCTTTTAAAAGAGAAAAAGATGCCAAAGAAGAAGAACTTAAAATTCTTAGTCAGGAACTCTTGAATTTGAAATGCTCTCTACAAAATTCTTCCGAGGAATTAACCAACTTGAAGACCACCGTTGATCATCTCAAAGAAGAACATACAAAGGAAAGGGATCGTTTTCAAGCGGAGTTGGAAGAAACTAAATCGGACAAGGAGCAGAGCTTGCGGGAAATGAAGGAAACTTTAAATCGTGAACATAAAGCAGAAATTGAAAACATCAGAACGAGATTTCGACTAATGCCATTTTTAAAAATGGACCGTAGCCCGTCTGATCCAAATTTGGAAAAACTGGAAAGGTTTGACACTAAAGATTTAAACAATCACGAAGCGATTATTTTGCATTTAAAGGAAAATTACGAAATTGAAAAGGAAAAAGCGGTGCAGGAGGCGCTTATTCAAGAGTCTCGCAAGTGGGACGAAAAAATTGAAAATCTGCGAATTAAGTTCGAGATAGAGAAAGAGATTGCGCTTGAGGAAGTTACAAAAAGATTACTGGATGAGAAAGAGAAACAAATTGATCTTTTACGGGAACGGGAGGCTAATCTTAATCTCGAATGTATCAAATATAAAAACACAATTCAGCAGTTGGCGGATAGCGAAACCAGTAGTCAAAGTGCTGAATTAATTCGAAGGATCGAATCCTTGGAAAGACAAAAAAGTGATTTAGAATTACAGTTAGTTTTAAGTAAATCGAAAAGGAACGAAGAGAGTACTTATGATTTGGCGTCATCGGTCGCAGTGTGCGAAGGTGACTTTATGTTGTTAGTAATTCAGTGTAACTCTTTGAATTTTAGGCAAAGTGAACGCCGCAACAAGTCCGATTAATCTTAATGAGAAGCTGACGAAAAGTCAAATTTCCTTCGTTAAATCTAATAAATTAAGCATAGATTCGTGTCAATCCGGTGACATCGTACTAATATTGTGGGATCCCGCGTACAGAAACTTTCGCATAATTCAAGAGAGCAGTCATTTATTCTTCCTCCATTCGGATTGTTTGGAAATGTTCGGATTGAATATCAGGTCGACAGAGAATCGTAAGCTTTACTACATGGGGGAGGTTATTGAAAAAGATTATTGCCATGCGAAGAAGGTAAGTCAATACAGCTCTATTGTTGATAATTATTAATCTCATAATTTACAACTGGTTTAGAAGGTGGTGTAGATTCACTCACCGCAAGGTCGTTGGCGTCGTCATTTACGTTCAGTTTATGTGTATTCTCTAAATAATAATAATAATGCTCTTTATTTTGCAAACAATGTTAACATTACACTGTAAAGCAGAAGGTATCAAAGAAAAGAAACGGTGCATATTTCTGAATGTGTAACTAAGATCTTTTTCGGCAAAATAAGGAAGTGGATATGCATCTTAATGCGGCTTTACTTTAGGATCGAGTAACTTTTTAACGGTACATGTATGAAATATGCTCTGAGAGATTTTAACATAATGTTGTAAAATTGTCGCGCAGCAAGATGCCTTGAACTTTTTTTGTTAACATTGTTTATGAAATTGTAATCTATGTAATACTGTTTATCAATTTTTAACAACAGCCACACCTGCAGATTTTATTCAATTTAAACGTCTTCTTATAAAATGAAATAAACCATCATTTTGTGCGTCTATCTGGCTTACATTTATTTGAATCAACGATGGAAGTTTAACGATCATCAAGATACCTGCTCCATATAATCTATTGTTTACTGCCAATCACGTTTGGTGAAATTTTTGGAAAATGGTCCCCTTAAATTTTTAAAGTTGTATGACGTTTGGTTTTATGTTTGACTGAAACTAGGGGAACTTACAAATGTCTTGTCACTCATGTATTTTCAGACGAATTAGACATTGCCAATTTAAAAGAAAACTGATATTATCAAGTAACTTGTCCTCCAACCTCACATATGTAAGTTTACATACTGGCTACATAATGGTTCAATGTTAATATTTTAGTGTTTCTATGAAAAAGATTTTGTTATCACCCTACTTTATTTATAAGACATTGGCTCCTTTTTTCAGCATCTCAATTTTCAGGTTGGGAATAGATACAACGTCCCTATAGGAACCAAGTTTTTTCGTGTGAAAGTGAAACCGATTCCCAATCTGAAAGAAGTAAGGGAAGGCGCGAAAGAAAAATCACAAATGTCTCAGAGTGAAATAGCCGGACCTTCCACTTCTACAGAACCTAATCTAGTTAATACGGCTGTGAGTTGGTCTTCTCCTGCGACACCTGTGAAACAATCGCCCGATGAAGCTCGAAGTGACCACAACAATACAATGGAAGCGTCGACAAGTAAACGGTAGGCTTCGCTATTATTTTTATCTACATCTTTTCTGCTTTCAAATAACAACAACCTACATTAATTGTATAGAGTATCTGTAACTTCATGTGATCAGCTATGTAACATTTATAAAGATTAGAAAGTATGTAAAACCAGCAAAAACATCTTACTTAAATTTGTTTAATTATTGAAAAATTGTTTATTTTATACATTCACTTGTCCATATACATTTAAGTGCTTTATTCGAAATTATCATGATTTTAATTGATGACAATGCCCCATCACTCATAACGCAAAGGTAGTTGTTTGGCAATACCTGTGCAGGCGCCAAAACTGAGCGGTATGCCTTCGGTGGTCCCCACACTTCAGTTCAATAAATATATTTATTATCAAATAAAGTGGCATATGCATGATAATTACATTTTAAATATGTGCACTCTATATTCCAAAGCGAGTCATGAGTCATAACTCTCACTTGTTAGTCAAAACAATGGAATCATAAGACAAATGACCAAATTTGCTTGTTTTGAGTATGCCATATAGTTTTAATTTGTGTATTAAGTCACTAGATTTCATAACTCACTTTGGAAAAATAGTTCTGATGGAAGCTTAAGATATTTGTTACTTACCTGTGTATACTTTTTTTATTATGGATGTTTTTACTTCACTGCTTCAATAGTTTATGATGTGATTTTGTTATATTTTATTTATTTATTATCACTGTCTCTACCTATTGAAAATAAAAAATAATTGACTATCTGACCGTCTGTTCCTTTAGAGTTGATAACGTGAAATTATTACGCAACAATATTGCCATGTTCATTTGGTTGGAAAGTTTGAATCTTGTTTAGTAGTTATCATTGTACAATTTAGACTGCTAAAGGAACACATTGTAGACACGTTAAGTTAATTGTACGTATTACTTTTAGTAACGGTTGTGAATAGCCCTTATTGTCCTACATGTCTCTAATCTGTGGTACATTGCTGCTTACGTTTACCTTTACCACTTACTAAGAATTCGCACTTGTGTAAATTAAAACAAATTCAGTAGATTAAACAGTAATAAAACAGTACCTATATCTACATGATAATATTTATAAAAGTGCTAGGGCATAGTACATTTAACAGTTTTTGTGGTAGATTGTTATTGCCTTATTAAATATTACAAATCAAAAATGAAGCTGTTTTGTCTTAAATCGTAGATTTGAGCTTGTAGTATAGTATACATTATACTTTCGAAAACGTGGAACGTGTGGTATGCGGCAATTAAATTTATGTAATTGTTGTTGGGTAACTTATATTCATTATGTTGTCATAATATGTTGATAAATTTGTTTTAAGTGAATTTTTAATTGTGATAATATAACAAAAAGTTTCTGTTGTAGGTATAATTTGATGTATATTTTTTCTATCGCTTATAAAGATTCTGTATGGTTATAGTGTGATATTTTACCATGCAAGTGTTTGCGAGCTATTAGGTTGTAAATGATCCTTGTACCAATTCTTTAATCTTAAGTTAACTAACCGTAACTATAAGTAGACAATTAATTAAATTTCTAAAAAAATCGGCTTGTCTTTCATTTGTGTGCAAATCTGAATTTACTGTTTGTATTGTGTTTAAAGTATACATGAATTGCAGTTATTGTAAAATATTTACAAAGTTTTTATATAAAAAGCCCATGTGCAATAAAGAAAATAAAATCGATTTTTTTTGTAATTTATGACATTTCCACCAAGAAATAGGGAGCATGTATGAAAGTGTTTTGATACCAGATATCGTGACACCCTTTGTAACGTTGTTTGGCGTTTCGCTGTTCCCAAAGCTATATCATTGTATATACATCTTTTACGCAATGGCTATATTCACCAAATAACGCTAATTTTTATGGATATTTTACTGGACAGGATAGCGCATCCTTGTGTCATGCACTCCAGAAATTTCCCATATATGATCTAGTACAATCCATGGCCTAAGTACAATCTACATGGATGGCTTTGTTTTTCCATGTTAGAATCTGGAGATAACAGATGGCGCCAGATTGTTCCTCGAACCACAATTCAATGGTACTATCTTTGCCTTGAATTTTCCTCGAATAAATTATTCAATTGGAAAAGAGCTTAGATCATACATGTCAATATATTTGACCTAAGGAAAAGAGTTCATAATAGTTTTGACATCTGAGAGATTGAGTAAGAAAGACAAATTGACAGGAAGGAAACTATAATAATTACAGTGATCTATATATTGCTAGAAATCTGTAAAAGGTGAGTAGGAAACAACGGCATTGAAGGATACTGTAAGGTAAGTAACTGGGAACAGAAGTAAGCTGAAGCAAAGTTTTATACAAGGTGTTCCTAAATATGATGTAAATACGGAAGCGGAATGTTCTTTGGCTTATTTTATGACTAATTGTTCATAAAAACGCAAACGCTACTAAAAGATGTTAAAATTTCAAGATTTTTTAAGTTTTTTTCTTTAAAGGTATCTCCTGCAATTTTTGAGATATTTTGCTCAGATTTTAAATATAAATGATGCTCAGTGATAATGAGAATCTACAGGGTGTTTGTTATTCGAGAATTCTGTTCCATTTTCTACCCCTGAACTTTTCTTGGTGCGTCACTGGTAGATTGTAAAATAAGAATTTGATATTCTGATTTATTTAGTAACTTTTTGGTCTCTCGTAATTTTTGCGATTTTTCGACCGTTCTCTCTTGTTTTTATTAGTTCGCATTTGAACTCATTGTATCTTGCGCGTGCATATCAAATTATAGGCAATCTAGAAATTATAACACCCTGTCGATCAGTAACGAAGCGTTTGCGGACCTATGGCAGTTGTAAATTCAATGTCTATAATGAATCTTATTTAGCCCCAGAATTAGCGCCTTCCGTATTGATATCATATTTAGGAACACCCTGATAAGATAAGGATGTGTATCATAGGGATCCCCGAAATCGCAAAAGTATCGATGATGGTAAAATTAGAGAAAATATGTGCAATTAAAGAGTCCTTTAAAGAAAACAAGAAAATTTCGATTACTCTCGCAGATATGTCAGAAAAATCGAAATTTACCGATTTCGTTTTTATTTTTTTTCTGGTGAATTTGTTGACGCACTCAGATCATAGTTTAAATAACTTCCACTAGGCGGCACTGAACCCAGCAGCGGTGTGCCATACTGGGGGCTCCACTCCAGTGTAAAATTTTTGGGGGCTCCAGTCGCCGCACTGGGACACCCCTCGGGCAGGCCACCAATTTGCTTTTGAAAGATAGCTGAAAGGTTTTTGCCACTGGTAGCTACCCTTACACACTACTGGGCGACAAAAAGTCTTTACTAGGCGGCACTAATGTTGCCTACGTTATAGCTTAAAATATGCTCTGGACGCACTAGACTTCCAAGGATTTTTTATGTACATAAAAGTTCTAGTTTTAAAATGCAATAGCCAACCCACAATACATAAAAACTTTAAAATGTGAACTGTGTGATTACCCGACCAAAAGTGCGCTTGTTAACCGACATGATCTATTTTATTGGTTACGTCACGGTCCGGTCACGGTGCGGTCACCTACTGTAGAGTGCATTCCTTATGAACATCTGAGCGTTACCTGACCATGGGATTTAAGGAATACACGCTGCAATAATTGACCGTCACCGTGATCTGACCGTGACGTGACCGATAATGTGAATCGGGCTTTAAGGAGTGAATAAATCAAATTTTGAGAATATGAATATCATCTTAACTTTTCACGGAGTACTCGATTCCCTCGAGAAACTTGACGCATCACAAAACAAGCCGTGACCTTCAAGCAATTTTGACCATTATATTTATATTGAATTATGTTTATGAACCCAGTAAATGTTGAGCCTCTTGCTAATTTGGGGCAGCCGAAGAGTTATTTGTAAAATAAAATTTTTTGAAACTTGTGAAAATACGGCAATAATTAGGTACATTTTGAAAGTATTTTTAACGATGAATAGTGGAGTGGCGGTCTTATTTATAATAGTAGTAGGTAGCCCTAAAATTCGGTTGGTAGTTCAGCATTTTGTGGGTCAGGTGGGTCATACTGGGCAGAGAGCCGAGTTATACAATCGTTTTCGCTCTCAGACCTAAGTACTTTCTTGATTCAAAGTGTTACCGTTGTTTTGTTCAAAAGCTTGATATCTTGACTTTCTGCCTAGAAGTCGTTTGGTACTTCGAAATTCATAAATGGGTAAACTTTTTAATGATGGTTATTTACAATTCAGTGGAACAGTGTATGGTACGGCACGACGATGGATTTACCACCATGAATTCTAAGGAAATTCTGAAAATTGATGCCCACATATGAATTTTTTGCACCGACAGCAAATTAATTGTAAGATAAATTTTGTAATAGTAAAACTTCAGTAATAACTCGTAGTAATTATAGTTTTTAAAAACCTATAAATGAGGCTATGATCCTGTGAAGACCGACCTATTAGAAAATATCTCTATAGCTGCCCTTCAATGGAAAGAAAAACTGTAAACTAGAGCAAATATCACAATTTATTAAGTTTAACTACATTTTTACACTATTTACAACTATTTACATAATGATGGTAATAGGTAATCATTTTAATACGGCTAAACTTATGCATACTACGAAGATCATTGGAAAGCTTATAGGTTCATAATACAAAGGCACGTGCTTAGGTGAATACTGTGGAAGATTAATTGTTTGCGTGGTGAATGCCTGTATTTATGTTACAAAAATCCGAATTATAATGTGAATTCGTATTCGCGTAGTTATTGATTCGGAAATCAAGTTCGCTCATTGTAACTACGGTTTCATTTTTGTTATCATACAAGGCCGTGTAATCAACAAATTGTGCCAATTCGGCATATTTATCTTGATATTTTGTATCTACGTTACATGTTCTGTACATATGCCTCGCATCCGTAAAGTTTTCATAAGAGTTGTTGTGCAGGTTGTTATCGAAGAACATCTTTGTGTCACTTATCACATCTAGTAAGTTACTTTGGTTCTTATAGCTATTGTCATAATCATCACTTAGGTAGCTTTCTAATTGCAATTTATCGTACCTTTGTGCGCCGATGTCGGTTTGGTGAGTTAGTGGGGTATGTGCCAAAGATGGTTGAACACCATCTGGAGATGAAACTAGATTATATCGACTACAACTGCTGTTGTTACTGTCATCGTTCATCAACGTAGACAAACTCTGATTCCAGTAATCTTCACTTTTGAACTCTCTGTGTATGGTGCCGCTACCCAAATCCAGTAACGTCGATGGCGAACGAGACAAATCTGTTGTACCTTGCTGTGGGTATTCGGGACGTATCGGTTGATCAAGTTGAAAGATTTCCTCCGGTTGAAATAGGTCACCAGTCACGTTGGCGAAATCATACTGACTGTTAACGTTCCCCATGTTGTCCAACGGATACGACTGCGCTTGGAGTGGTTCCTGTGTCCAGTACGAATCTAACTGTTGGCCGATTGGCTGATAAGCTGAGGGCGAATGAGGTGTATATTGCTGATGCGCAACTGGCACGACCGATTGAAATGTGCATATGCATTCGAAAGGTGGACAGGAGCATGAGTAACCTGTTGCCAAAAGTTTAGTTTGATAAATTGTTTATAAACTCAATTAGGTACCCACCTTTATCCAAATCAGCAATGAGAGGTGGTGGATTTAGACATCTGGAAACTGAATTGATGTCCTTGCAATGTCGTTTTGGTTCTCTTAGTGACATAAGCTGGAAAGAATTTAATAATCAATTAGACACAACTGGATTTTTGAACATAAAGTATTGTGACCGCATACAACGTACTGACGATAAGTAATGTTAAGGGTACGTGTCTAAGTAAAAAGACGAACGTCAAATTTGTTTTCGTTCCCCACAAAAAAAGAAAACCGAATCTCATTAAGTGTACGGTTTCGGCGTTCTACAGATATTTCTGAAGAAACTAAATTAATTTTGAATACAGCGAACTACCTCTTCATCGTGCTTTTGACTAAATTCCATCATCATCCACATCAAAAGTAGAAGTGCGTGGGTCTTATTTGATCCAATAATGTGCCTTCTCATTTCGTTATCCACGCCTTCACTGAAGGAAAATTGTGTCTTCAAAAATATACCTAATGTAATTGCGCCATTCTTGGATTTATCTTTTCAATCGCTGCCAGCTTAAACCAAATTACTTTCAACTTGTTAATTATTACTCCGATGGTAGAGAAGATCCATCTACAGCTTTTGTAAGCAAGTACCGTTTCACGTATATAAGAGGTTATGGATTATTCTAATATGGCGACGACAACCATTTCCTGTGCCGTAAATACTTGCGTCGTTTCGTTTTAACATTCTAATAGCATTAGGAGTGCGCCATGTTCCTTACTAGTTAATTACACCTAAACATTTCATGATTGCCAATTGTAATTAATTTTTATTTGCTGTGTGTTTCAGTGGTAGAGCGTTGGGCTACATTGCCGGAAGGTCGGGTGTTCGAACCTGGGCTGAGGTAAGAATTTTTCATCTGTGGCAGAGATTGGAATTTCCTTAAATCAGTTTCGAGTATTCTCCCGGCTACTTTATTTAGGGTTTCCTGCAGTTTTCCTAATTCGCGTAAGGTAAATACCGGAACAGTATTGAACAACTTAAAATCTGCAGAGGCACCTTTAAACACAGATTTAGAGTGTTTAAATCTGTGCCTCTAAAAAGCATTATGTGGGTCACTCTGTAATTGGACACAAGCCTGATGAGAACATTAGTAATGTTTAATTATTACTTAATTGTTGCGTCTCAGCTTATTTATCGCAATTACCTTTCAAATGTTAAATTAGGGTATAATCCCTACTACAGCAATCTTAATTGTTACTTAATTTCTTTTGTTACTTAAATTTGAATATACGTTAATACAGGTTTATGTTAAATGCCATGTGGTAATACACTGAGCGTTTATTCAGTGCTCACTAGTCTCCTTCCACACTGTCTGGAATGAGAGGCGGTAGGAATCCATCAAAATCGGCTAAAAAATTCTAAAAAATTTTAACCAACGTTGTACCGCCTGCTTCTTGAATTCGAGGCTTGCGGCTCTGAAATGACGTAGATCATCCCCCTTTTGCCGCTTATTATATAGGGTGGGAATGTCTGGAACTCCAAATATATCTTCAAAACAACATTTCTGTTTAATTATAAAAATTCTGCGTACCAATCTGCGTATTTACATTAAAGTTGCGGTCAGTGGCGTACTTCTGCATGGTCAAAGGGGGCATTTTTATTTAATAGCAACAATCATTTTTTATTGTGCACACCTTTTATGCTGCTATATTCAAAAAAGTGTGTTCTTAATCATAATGTATTGAAAACTAGTAGTTACCATTTAAAAAAATATGCCCCCTTAACCCCCCATGCAGAAGTACGCTACTGACCACAAATTTAAAGTACCCACGTAGATTGGTAGCAAACTTTCTAAATTGTTGATATTATGAAACGTTTCTTTAAAAATATATTCAGTGTTTCCACCAAAACTTCCACTAACTTTAATATTTGTTCCTTTCTAGATTCAATCGCTATGCACTATCTAGAGGGGTTAGTTTTTATGATAAATGGAAGTTTCTGCGTGGGTATTTTGTGGAGTTCTTGCGGGTCACACCAACGTTTTTGAGATACTTTAATCTAAACTCAAAGAAGGAAAGCGTAAAGTAAGTATGCTCTCAGTATGGTTACTTTGAACTTATATTGGTACCATTTCGACCGAAACTGGTTTGATCACTACTCATTTTGAAGTACGAAGGTTGTATATTAAATAACCGCATTGATAAAACGGTACTTAGTCTCATTTCCTACCACTACACTGTTTTTTTCGAAGCAAGCGGTGATGCAGGTCATATTCTGTCGTCTGTCCAACTGTAGAGTACTTCCACCGATTTTTGTTCTCTATAGTTTCACATCGGGCTCCTTTCAGTATGGATTTTTTAAATAGAAAAATGCCACACGGGTCCAAATCTGGGGAGTACGGAAGATGTTATGTAGTACATGAACTTTTTTTTGGGCAAGTACTGCTCGTATTTGTCATTCAGCAAACGCTTCTGCCACCGAAGTTCAAAGAATCCATATTTTATCCGGGTTACCGATTGGAAGGTGCAAGACAACGTAGCTTTGGGGTTAGCGCACAAAAGCCTTGAAACCACGATAGATTGTACTTCGAGTTCACCAAAAATATTGCAGCACGTCCACAACCTTTTGAGGTATACATTAGTGCTTCATTAGTGCTTGAGTGTCTACTTGTCTACAACTATTGTATTACCTCAATTGCTTTTGAGATATAGGGTATAAATTTTGGGTACACTCGTTTTCTATGACAGTTTCACTATTTTTTTAGTTTTTTTCCTGCATCTTGATTTGTGGTTGTTTTAGGTCCTCTCAAGTGTCACTTTAATTGGCCTTCTCTGAATCAAAATTTTGTTGCTCAAACCTTATACCTCTAACTATAAAACATTGCTTATATTGGCCATTTATAACTTTGTTTGCATATTAGGTTTCTTTTAAGTCCCCAAACCATTTCGAGTTTGAGGATTCTGGATTACGATAAGAGGATGCATAGGGTCCACGCGTACCTAGGCCTCAAATTCGGGTCCTTTGAACAACCTCCCTGACTAGAGTCGTCCGCCCCTTAACTTCACTCAAGCCATCCCACACGTGAGATGAACCTAAGGATGCTGGACTGGGAGGGAGCTCTAATCGTGACCAAGTTGGCGGCAGCACAAAGCCCACTAATTCTATGAGCACAAAACATGAGGTTCGCTGAAGCATATACATCTGATTTTAGGAATCATTTCTAGAAACTGAAAAAAGGAAATTACAGAATTCAAAATAATGGACAGGAATTCAAAAATCATACCGCGAGTAACCTCTACCATTAGTATTTCGTTTCTCCATAAAATTGTGATTGATGTCTCATGTTAATATGGTTCTCAACTCATTCTACGTGCATGATGGACGTTCTTTTCAGCCTAACATAGCTGTTCTGTTAGTGCTTTCAGCAAGGCGTGAAAATGGCTCAGAAAATGGAGCACAATCCATTACCGATTGACTCTTTACTTTGTGTGAAAATTTCCAACACGTACTCTCGCCGCATTTTCAAGATGAATGGTATGCAGCAGTTGTGGGTTTGTGGCAGTAGCATACCTGATCATTAAATAACTATACTTCTCTTTTCTGTCTGCTTCACCTTGCTTCTTTCAACTGTATTTTATAGGCACTTTTGATTATTCTTTTATGTACAGGTATATGTGGTATAATTTTATTCTAAGCAAAAAATTGGAAGCAAATAAATCTCTCTTATAATGAGTGTAAATATGTTTACGATATTTAAATTCGACCCTGCAGACGTCTCTCAAAATACAAAATTAAAAGTTTAAGATATCTACTGTAACGACCGGTTATGTTTACAAATGATTAAGCACCAACATTCATCGATACGTATGTAACAAATCGGCTACACTTAAATAAATCGACCACACATCGCTAATAACGGGTTGCACTTAACAATTAAATGACTTGAAATGATAATTAATAGCGCCTATTTATAAAGTGATCGGTCTATGATTATCGAATTTTTAACTAATATTGATACTTTCACGTGAGGGACGTGTAGGTGGTCATTGGTCACAGAAAAAATGCGATATTTACCTTACTTCCTAGTGCAGCTTCTCTGGCGAGGAGTACAGCTAGACCGCGCACCCTTCGCCCGCTTCCCAAACTACGTCTAGCCTCAGACGTACTCTTCGCTTCAGGTCTTGGGTGATCGTGGACGCCTTTAGCCTGGAAGAATATCGCGTACTCTGTGTGTCTCCAAAAGTGGGTAACTGGGTAACCGCAGTGCCCACGACATGTCTGAATTTCCAGTCTTCCCGAACACTGTCGATTTGGACACGGTTTACCTGAAACGAGCACAAATAAGTTACGCTTTTCTTTGACGGTGAACCGACGGACCTTGTTGCTTCTTTCGGGCTTTATCACAGATCGCTGGTCGTAAGTGCACGCGTTCACCATTCGGCAAAATACACCTTTGGGAACAGACCAAAACCCCCAAACAACTTTTCTTCAAAATGTGCACGTTGTGATTATTCGTATTTCTCATCGCCCACCCCGAGGAATGCCGTTTCGCCTCTTCGGAATTTTGAGGATACACTAGTCTGCAATGACCGTCCGCCCATTCGGAAAACGAATCGAATTCACTAATACGGGGTATCGTGCTGTCATTGATGTCCCAATCTGATGATGTGCTTGAATATGTTACCCGGCAAGTCATGCCCGGGGACAATGGCGCATTGCTGCAAAAAAAACACGGTGAAAATTTGAACAAATATTCGCGTTAGTGGTTTTATTTCTCGTATTAATCGAGAGATTGGGCGTTTTAAACGCAATGTAAAGGTTTATGCAAAGAATGCTATAATTAATTGGGTATGATAATTACCAGTTTTGTGACAACTGTAAATAACCTTTGTTATAAAGCATCGGCCTTAAGCTGCTTTACGACTCCATATTACTCTGGAAAATATTCTTATTCAATAAAAAAGAAATTAACATAACATTAAATTCTTCTGTCTAATAAGCTAGGTACGCATGTAAGAAGAGTTTATGGTAAGTAGTAATTAGTTATCTTATTAGTGAGAGAATTAATATTTTAACTGTTGTTTTAGAACGTAAAACTACCCACTCAGACATAGATTCCTCGTGATTCTCTTGTAGGCGCGTGGAAAAAAGTTGTATGGCAAGTTGTATTTTGAGGTAGGCACCTATTTTAGGAATTAGAAGATATTGATGTGAAGTTGAAATTCTGTCTTCTAGAATTCTTGTCGAAGCGATTTAAAATTAAGTCACCATGGTATGCAATACACATCAGCAATCTCAAAAATGGCAACCTTTTGACACAGATTACGGCTTATCTTTAACGGAATAGTCGCATTTTACCTAACAATCAGATTTATCGGAAGCATGTTTATTTCAAAAGTGTTGGGTAGATGTGGTAGGAAAGAATGTTTTCCATTATTTCCACCCCGCCGATTAGTTTGTAGCTCACCTCATTAAAGAGGTTACAAAAGAAACATGATTTTGGATGATTGTTTCCTTGAAACTCAACGTCAGCTACCTTAGATGCGAGCCTCACCCCCATAAATGATTCTCAAAAATGCTGCTGTGACAAGTGAAAATGTCTGTGTATGTCCAGTTGCCTACTTTACGCCCATATTTAGATGCCCAAAACGGCAGAATTAAAAAAGTGTCTAGAACTTAATCTGCACGAAAAGCCTATAATTTATTCTTGGTGGTGTTTTTCTGAGCTATCCAATTTTTTCTGTATCGAATTTTATAAAAAACACATCGGAAAACACTAATCATTTTTCTTCAATATTTTTCGCCCACTGTGGATTCTGGTTAACGATAGGAGGATATGGACAGGGTAGGGTCCACGTCTACCTAGGCCTCAAATTCGGGCTCTTTGTACTACATATACCTAACTATAGATTCGTCGCACACCGCAACGTCAATCAAGTCATCCCAAACGTGAGATGAAGCTAAGGATGCAGGAAAGGGAAGCGGCTTTAATAGTAGGTAGCCATGTGGCACATTGTGGAAAAACGGTACTAAAATGGTATTAAGGGGCATTCACAATCTGGCATTATAAGCATTTATTACATTAAAATAAATTAAAATTAAATTAAAGGGGTTTCCACGGGTCGATTTTCGCCACATGACAAAGCTGTACGGCACAAATCGACCGTCAAAGTGACAATTCGGCTAGGCCGCAAGTGACTAAAATCGCTTGTTCCAAAGTATACTAGCATCCGACTTTTGGCCGTACGGGGACCGCAGCATGCGGGTGGTAATTAAAATCTGCTCAATATTTTGGACGAAAATGACCTAGTCGCTTGCGATTTCAATCAAATGTGTAAATGAGGTGACGATGCGGCTTTGTGATGCGATTTGTGAAGCAATAATTAATCGCACGGCGAAAATTTACCCATGTAAATACCCCATTAGGGGTAAATTGGGGTAAAAAATGACCACTCACTTTTTTACGGAAATAAACGTTTTGAAGCAGAATCGCGAATGCGCAGGTGTGTGGTTGGGATCTGTGCTAGCCACAGAGCAAATTTTTCTGAACTGCACTCAATTCTAACTTCTAAGTAGTTTATTTATACTAGATCCGTATTAGCTTTTCTAACACACTGTTTTTTACTTCTTTTAGGAGCGCCTTATAGGTTATTTTTTAAAATTATATTTGATCTGAATTTTTGCAATTACTCTTATGTTTTATGTAGTTGGGATTCACTACTATTTGTTGTGTAAGTAATTAGATCATTTCATATGTTAAACATAAAATGTTATTATTACTTATTTGTGAATCCGGTCTTGGTGGCAATAGAATAGGAGTTTGTATTACTATACGTCATCGTCTAGTATAAAAAACAGTCGCAGGTAACCGCCCACTGCAAAACTTAGGTTTTTTCTTGGAATGGGCTAAATGAAAATATAATATAGTCCATCCGTTATTATTATCACTATTCCGATATGTAATTAACTCCACCAAATGCAGTGTTAACTTTTTTTACCTCACGTCGTCGATTAAATATAAACAATTCTTTCAAACAAACTGCAACGCGTTATTGTTGACGTGCAGAATAAGAATGAGCAAAATAAGGTACCGCAACAGTTAAGCGATTTTAGGTCGTATCGCTTACGTCAAAGAATGCTAATTGAAGTGAATTTCGCTTGCAAACAGTTTTAGAACTGCAGGAACATCAGGTAGGCGTAAACAACATTACTGTAAGCAATATCTGGATGCAAGCGAAATTCACTTCAAATAACATTCTCACACATCTCACAGACGACCAGTTTTGCAGTAAGCGGCTACCTGCTATGATTGACATGACTGTTTTAATACTAGAAGAGCAATAGCTCCGAAAAAGTAACCCAAAAATGGGACTTTTTAAGCAATTTAATACGAGGTGAGAGGTGAACGCTTTACTACGAGTTGACCAGGGTCGAACACCTATACCGCTTTACGCATACGATAACTCCAACAGCTGACAAGCTACGTCAAATTTAATAGAAGAAAACTTGAAAAAACGGAAGAAGAAATATTTGGCGGAAATTCAACGCAATGCGCAATGAACGAGAAAACTTGAAAATCAAGATTGAACTTTGGAAACTAAGCAAAAGAAATGTAAAGGATTAAACGTTTGGAAAAGGAAAAAAAAAAGGAAAAACAATGTAGTCGTGCAGGGTCTAGCAATAAAGAATAAACATGAATTTATTAAATGAACGATGAACATAAAGAAGCCGAAACATTTAAAAAAACTTGAAAGAGTAGGATAGTAGAAAAAACCTCATGGGAGCGCAATACAAAGTTTGTATGAGAGAAATAGGAAATTACGTAGTGAGTCATGGCATAAAATCGGAAAAATTTAAAACAAGACATCGACTTAGACAATGATTGTGAGTGTCCTTTTTACACTATTTATGGACGAAGTCATTGAACAATGTACCTACCGCCATCCAGAACAAAAATGATGCTCGTAAGACACAGATATCTACAGAAAGTGCGGAAATAGCAAATTGCGCGTTTGGCCACGATGCAGGTATTACGAGTAGGTATAACCGACAGCAAACAAGGAAAGTAAGAAGGTTTAAATATATGAGAATGTGAGATGACATCTTGAAAACCAAAGTAATACTAGCAAGAAGAGAACGGGGAAAAGAGAATCTGAATAAAATGCTATAGGGAACTATAGAACAAGTCAACAATCCTCAGAATTTAGAAATAATATTAGAAGAAAAGTGTACACAGGAAGAAGAATTAAAAACACACTAAAGGTTTACCATGCTATAAGCAAAACATTTTTCTCCAAAAAAGAAATCTTGAAACATACGGAAGTGAGACTTGGTCGCCAAAAAGAAGCCAGAAAGGCAACGGAAATGAAATTTCTACGAAGCATTATGGGTTGGAATAGACTACACAGATTACCAAATGAAGCAGTTCAAGAAGAGCTGAAATGTTGCACAAGGTGAGTCGGGGAGGTGTGAAGTTTTTGCGACGGCTGTAACTTCGCCCCAGGACAGACGAATGTTTTTAGTATAGTTGATAGTATTTTTAATTACAGGGTCTTATTCTGTGGATTTCAGTAGCTATGCAGCCCTGGACAGTGACACATCGACTTTTTGTGTACGACACTTTTCGTCCCGCCAACAATTATGATCGAGTGTACCAAACATGTCCCTCATATCGTGGTTATACATTTTGCTATGCGGCACAACTAAATTACCCAAAAAGGCAAGAAGAGCATAAAATTCACGTCATTATGGCAACTTTAGTAATCAGTCTTACCTTTTTTTTGGCATGCGACTAAAATCTTCGCCCATACCACAATTTGATATATTTGGATTAAAAATGCCTGGGGTGCGCACTAGCAAAAAATAGGAATTGGGCTAGATGAATAACCATTTAAAATGTTATCTGTATAAATAGGAAAGTTGACATCACGCAGTCTGCGCATGCGCATATTAATTGTCAAAATTTTTGTTGGTTGTCAACGCTAGCTACCGAATGCAAAAAGAACGAACTACAAATCTTGAAAACTGTACTGACAGACCGACGGAGGAAGTGGCCATATGTGAACATACCATCATGAATATCAGTTTAGGTATATGGATTAGTTAGTAAGATTCGAGGGTTACTTTTTAGCGCATTTTTGCAAATTTATTTGTAAAAAGTAGCTTTTAATCTCACTTTGGCTGGCTGGCTGGCTGGCTGGCTGGCTGGTTGGCTGGCTGGCTGGCTGGCTGGCTGGCTGGCTGGCTGGCTGGCTGGCAGCAAATGTGGGCGCGTAGAAGAACTCTTGTAGAAAGGCAACGGGCGTACGTGTATCTACAGGACCGTGAAATTTGTCAACCTTAGGGACATGGCTACATGATGTGGGGTTGGCGACATCTGGGCGTCATCCTCGAGCGTAGTATACTAACGTGAAGGTTTTTCAGTTTTTTCCTATCTTCTACTACAGTTTTGGTCCGATTCTTTTGAAATTGGTGTCGTCGGAAAGATGTTGTAAACGCGCACAACTCCTGCGTGGCGGAATTTTGTTTTTTGTCAACTTCGGGCGCCTTTTACCTTCCGTTGCGAACTCACGCGGTTTAACGTTTCGTAAATCTCGAATCGCTGTCTCTCTTTCTCGTGTCGCCAATAGAAGTGAATTGCGAGTGAACGGGACGTCGGAAGGGGGTACCGTCAAAGGAAATGTGGTAGCCCCCGACACGATCTTCCTGATGGTGGAGTCAAATTTTCAAACGCGAATTGCGGGTGAACGGGACGTCGGAAGGGGGTACCGTCAAAGGAAATGTGGTAGCCCCCGACACGATCTTCCTGATGGTGGAGTCAAATCTTTCAACGCGAATTGCGGGTGAACGGAACGTTGGAAGTGGGTACCGTCAAAGGGAACGTGGCCCCCGACACGATCTTACTGATGGTGGAGTAAAATCTTTAAAAGCGAATTGCGGGTGCACGCGGAAAGTGGGAAGCGGTTAGTGAATGTAGTAGCCTTCGACAAGATCTGTTATTGATGGTTGAGTCGAAAGTGGCTAATAGAATACTGATCTGCCACACAAAAATGCGCTGAAGTCCCTTCGATCTCAAACGAGGACTTTGATAATTTTTATATACCTACTCACTGTAGTAGATATCACTTGTGCTACTTAATATAGAACTCCTCTAAATTTGGCCTTACTCCATCAAATGCGAATATTTGAAAAATCGTTGAAAAGCGCAAAATCACCTCCTAAATTTTGTCATGTATGTTAAGTACCGCAACTTGTACTGTAATGGTTGCTATGGCAACACTGGACGTGTCAGATTTTATAGTTCGTTTTAGAACCGAAAGATTAATTTGAAGGAGTGATGTGCTACCAGAATTTGCTTCGAACTTGGGCACGCTGCAACGGAAACTATCGAAAAAGCTTTAATGGAGATGGGGATTTTCGTGTTTCGGTTGTGCTAAATCATCCCTTTTCGGAAGCTGTAGCGATGGTAAGTTGACAATTGTTTCCGGTTTTCGAACGAAAATGCATTGTAGAAATCTTAAATTAAACCCTGCACTTTTCATTTAGGTAAACCTCACACCAAACTGGATTATTTAAAAACTGTACGTAATTAAAATCTTCTTTAATTATTTGTCCATCGATCGCTTACATGCGTGGTTTGTGTCTTTCTCTCTATCAGTTTGCTAGTTAGTGTGTAGCCGGAATAAATGTTATGTTATTTGTCAACGAACAATTACCTACAATGAACAGATACGGTTGTGTCAAAACGCAATCAATAATTCAAGGTTTTCAACCCATAGACAACTTAACATTGATCCAGAAAAATCGAATAAAATACAGGATGTCCCATTTAGAAGTTTCAAGTTGAGGGCTGTGGACCGGTTTTGGAACACCCTGTATAAATAAAATTACCAAATTTTAATAATTGTGCTTAGTACAAACAACTTTTGTTTTAAACTTATTTTTGCAAAAGCTGTTAGAAAATGAGATAGGTAGGTAGAGGGAGATCAAAATATAGTAATTAACCCTCGACATTTTGCCGTAATTACCTAGGTACCTAAGATTGCCTTTACAATTAATGCTCTATCACTGAATAGTATAGGTAATGTTTAGAACACCTATCCTTATAAGAAATCATGAAATCTTTCTTATCCGGCCTCATTATTTCCAAATGTTCAAAAACTTTGTATACATCAAATACCTCCAAATACAAAATCGCGATTAAAGTTTTTAAATACTGTCTTCTGTCTAGCATTGTTTGACGAAATGAATAAAACATTGGCAATAGTCAATAGGTAGGTAGGTAGTTAAAAAAAAATACCACAAGTCGGTATATATGTCAGTATCCGTGCAAGTAAGGCATTCTTTTTTAATAAATAATTAAAGGTATATTGTTCAAGTACCTAAAGTTGTTGCTTTTTACACAGTAATTTCAATGAACGGTCATTACACGTACCCATTTTAATAACGCAAATAAAAAAGTTGTAGGTACTTTAATACCTAATTAATAGTTGTGAATTATTAAAAGAAATATGTACTTACAGAATTACCATATCTTATTATAGTTGTCCAAATTATATCAGGTTCGTAAATTGTCTTCAGAGCTCATTAGCACACTCCGTAAACGGGAACAAACCTGCCACTATATACCTATTACATCAAAATAAACGCGCGTAACGTGGCGTGTTAAGTATAGGAACATCCACCCTTATACGACAACGAAACAGAAGCAACTAACCGTTTTAAAGGATAATTGGAATAATGTTACTGGGGATTTTCAGCCACACCCTTACTTACCCCTCCAATTTCGTTGTAAAATCTTGTTCGCCAATAAAATAACAGAGGTTGAAGAACCACACCTTTCCATCTACGTTTTCTAATTCCTTCTACCTGAAACAAAGTCTATTGGTAAATTGTTTCAGTGGATATTTCCGGAAGTTTTACCGATTTGTGGTAGATAATTTTGAAATTATATAGCTCAATTTCCCTTCACATCGTCGGAAAACCTTAGCAGTTATTTTACTATAATATTTTGTAATAATTGTTTACATTAATGCACTTTTTTCTACCACTTATGTTTCATTCATGAAAAATTTTCTTTTCTTTTACACGAAATTTGGGCAAAAAGGCCGAGCTTGTATTCATTAACTCTACCTACCTAAAGTAAATAGGTATGTACCTATTTCGTGCAAACTTTAAAGCATACTCCTATACTTTCACTATCAATATATGGAACCATGGGCCTTCGCGCAAACGATCGTCGGGACCCCTCTTTCTAGAAAGATTAATTTTTGTTTTGTAATGAAATGATTTGATAACTTGCCATCATGCCAAATTATGAAGACAGAGCTACGCTTTGAATCAAATAGGCTAAGCAATTTTGAAAAGTATATCTAAATAAGCGTCAGAAATATATAGGGTTCATTTTTGTGAATTGGAGGGCAAAGAACCTCTTTTTTGTACTCCGTAGATAAGATGGACTTTGTGTTATCTTTTATTTAAGGGACTAAAGCAGCAACACAGAATTTTTTTCTCAAGTACATATTTATACCTATATTTATAATAGCTATTGCAAATGGGCCATAACATATCTAACAATTATAATAAAGAAGTTGTAAATCAGCATACTTCTACAACCATTGGTCTACATTATATTTTCGATTTACAAAATAGCCTTTGTCAAGGCTACCAATTTGCAATGAATAAATACAAGGTGGGTAAATTAAATCTGAAATTAATGTTTTATCGTTTTAGATCATAATATTCAGCAACTGCGACATGCCTTTTACTTTGGAAGAAAATAAGCTGCTTATGCAGTATTTTCGTAATGGAAGTAAAGACAGAAACGAAGTTTGGACGTTTTCAACTCACCTATGCATGGAAAAATTTCAAGATGTATATCCTAAACATGTCGTTGATTACTAGCACATTCTTCGTGTAATTAAGCGATTTGACGATACAGGAAGTGTTGCTTGGGGAAAATCCCCTCGTCGCTCAACAGTTGCTAACGAGGAGGAAGTAGAAGACGTGCGTGCTCGTCTTCAACAAATCAGCAAAATCCACTGCGACAGCGATCCCAATACACTGGTTTGTCATACGGAGTCTGTCAGAATATAACGAGGAAAAAGTTGCATTTCTACCGGTACAAAGTAACCGTGCTACAAGAACTACATCGTCACGACTTGGAGAAACGTGTAAATTATTGCAATTGGTTTAATGAAACTCTACGAGACGACAACTTATTAGACAAAAGTTATTTCTCGGATGAAGCTTGGTTTCATCTTAGTGGATACGTTAATTCCCAAAACTACTTGGAGTGCCGAAAACCTGCGTGTTCCCCCATCCTCTGAAGGTAGGCGTATGGTTAGCGATGTCGAGAAGGCGAATTGTTGGATCGATATTATTTGACAATACTATTAATACCGAACGTTAACGGGAAATGTTACAAACGTTTATTGATCGAATTGAAAGAACATCCTTCAACATGATAATGCAACGGCACATACAGCTGGTGAAACAATAACATTCTTACAACAGTATTTTGATGACCGAATTGTTGGAAGCAACCGTGGGCCGCGAAGATCACTTGATCTAACACCTTTGGATTACTTTTCATTTGGGTATCTAAAAAAACGTTATTTATAGAAATCGTTTACACGCCATTGAAGAATTACGTGCAATTATAAAAGCGACGGTTCAAAACATAAGACAACATCAACGACATGCAGTTTTCGAAAACATGAAGAAAATAGTGGATTTGTGTCTCTTTAATGTGGTAACCAACTCGAACATTTATTGTAATTCGCAACTGTTGTTCATTATTGAATTTGTATAGAAGTAAATCACGTTTCAGTTACAAAAGAAATGTATGCAATGTAATTTTATATAAGTTGGAAACTAATAAATATATACCTATAACTCTCGCCAGGAAAGATTGCCGGTCACAGCACACCTTGTGTCGATCTACAATCTATGTTTTTCTTAAGATGCGAGAGACTTCCGGAATAGGATCGTGCCAATGTTGAACGAAAAGTCTTTTTGTTCAACATTGACACGATACTATCCCGGAAGTCGCTCACATCTTTAGAAAAACGTAGACCTATCCGTGTCAAATTTTTGAAATCATAAATTTTAGTTAAAGGTGAATTTATCGAAAGTCTAAAATTTTATTAAACCAAAAAGTGCGATGAAATTTTGTTTTCTGAATGGAATAACCGCTGCGGAAACGTTGTAAATTTTGCAGACCGCTTACAGGCCAAGCTCTATAAAAAAACATTTGATTGGTACAAAATGTTCAAAGAAGACAGACAACGTGTTGAAGATAAAGAGCGTCCCCCGCGACCATCCACATCACTTAATAAGCAACATGTCAATAAAATCAAAGAATTGGTACTTGAAAACCATCGATTAACAATAAAAAAGCTTACTAGGATAGTCGTCGCGTTGATGTGTGTGAAACAATGCTTTCTGAGTATCAAGACAAGCTCCAACGCATCATTACGGATCATGAGACTTCAATTTATGCTTACGACCCGGAAACAATTTATTAGTTGAAATTTGACTCATTCATTAGTATAATTCACCAATGTTCAGCAGTATAGAAACGTCCAAAATTACCCTTATAAATTTGCGATTTGACAGCTAACAAAAGCACGAATTAATTGTTTTTATCATCTAACAACACCCTGTATACATAAGGGAGGTGCCCAGTTTTGATTGACAAACTTGTTTTTTAATCGTCTAACCGCTTGAACTACATCCGCAATGAACGTTTATCACCTTTGACCTCAACACTTTCGTGGTAACAATTTGTAAAACGAGAGAACGCGAATCCGATAATACTATAAAACGAATTTGTTCTCTTACGTAGGTAATACTTAGCACCATTCACGGTTGAAAACTATAGCAGCCGGCCGGTCGATTGCGCTACGCATTTAAGTTCCTCTTTTTGCATAAACCAGTCACTTATTATTTGCTTATTTGCAATGGAACTGGTCACGAGTCTAAAAACTACCCCCGACAATAGGCATTAATTTCGTCGGAAGCGGTGGCACAATTCTCTGGTTGTGCGGCTAACGATACCTTTATACATGGTGGGGCAGAGGAACTTGCTGATTTGTATTCGACGCCCTTGGGCGACGGTTGCTCCGACAGTGGGAATAGGTATATTTGAGAGAAGGGCATATAAAGTTTTTCCGCTGCGTAGTGTAGTCACCATCAGGGGGTGGACGAAGGCGGAACGCCCGTTCGCCGTCGAGGCATACTTTTCTAACGGTCGCTCAGTCATAGCCACGCAACGTGCATTCCGTACTCATTTTAATTTTTTTTCTTCACATCACCAGTTTCCCTAAAATTGTTTACCCATGAAACAATGGATTGCCGGCCAGGAACACGTCCACGTGGCGCGATATTAAAATATGAGTACGGAATGCACGTTGCGTGGCTACGTCTGAGCGACCGTTAGAAAAGCATGCCTCGACGGCGAACGGGCGTTCCGCCTTCGTCCACCCCCTGATGGTGACTACACTACGCGGCGGAAAAACTTTATATGCCCTTCTTTCAAATATACCTATTCCCACTTTCGTCGGAGCAACCGTCGCCTAAGGGCGCCGAATACAAATCAGCAAGTTCCTCTGCCCCACCCTGTATATTGCGGCTATATGGCTTTCGGTTTGAGCGTTTAATTAAAAACGAATCTCCACGCGATCTCAATAACGGCGCACACAACCCATATGATTAGCCTTGAAAACTTGGCGAAAAAATTCGTGTTAATTACGCGATCTAAAAATCGCCGCGTTTATGTTGTATAGGTTTGCCTCGAAAGTTTGTCTAAGAATGTTTTTCTCCCACCCAATTTTTACTTAAGTACTCTCCGAGCTCGAATTATGAAACGGCCCAACGAAAACCAAGCGTTCACTCTCGTTTTATAAAAGGTATAACAGAAACACCGTCCCTCCTTTTACGTTACGACGGTTTTTATAAACGGCAACACTGTAGCGGTTCGACTCTTATCTGGCTGAACACTCGTTCTTATCTTAACGCTTTTCATTTTCTCGCATATTAGCTCCGTTCTCTTTCCCTATGAAGCTGCGGTACACGTATACAATTTCCTATATAGGTAAATTTGTAAATTTAACAAAAAAATCTTTAAAGCACCCACCTGTTACAACAGGCAGCATCGACTTTCTTAAAAAGCTCGCATCACTTTACTTTGCCGCTTAATAATAAATTCAGTCGAGCTACTTCGATTAGTTAATAAGTTAGAAAGTTAGAAAGCTCGAAAAACTCGAAAAACACACCAGGTCGGCTCGATGCTAGTTTCGAATAAAATAAGTTGAGCATGTCCCGAAAACTCGGCTCGTTTTCAAGTCGAGCTTTCGAGCCGAGCCGAACCGATATGTTCATACGTTCTGTTTCTGTCGTTATACGCTCTGAAGAATACGAGGGGCTGTTAGTATCTGATAATTTCTGGTGGCAAACCATAGCTGGTTGCGCCACGGATTTTAGATTTTAACCATAGAAGAAACTAAAACCAAGTTCAAATGAGTTTTTTTTCGTAGAGAACAGTAACTAATAATTAAGTTTTGCTTCCGTTCTTTATTCATCAAGCCCTCTACGCTCGTACTGGGCAGACTGGGCTACTGGCACAGATTGGAGAACGAGATTCTTGCGAGATTCTCGGTGGCTCGAACGAA